AGCACGTGTACCTGTAGGCTTTTAGATTCAATTAGGCATTGTCCGGACAAACAAAAAATGTTTTAACAAACATAATATATTATGAACTATAATAACATAATATTAGGTATATTAATTTATATATAATTTTACACATGTATTATAACACGTTATTGTTATTATTATCATTGAATTAATTAATAAGTAATTATTATAAATTGTATTATAATTTGATTGTATTTAATTTTTCTTTTAAATTGGTCGAATTAAAATAATTAAAATGTTTATAAAAATATATAAAAATATATATACCTATATATTTATATATATAAAAGTATATATAATTTGATTGTATTTAAGTTTTTTTTTTAAATTGGTCGATTTAAATATGAAATTTTATACAAATATATGCTTAATTATGTGATTAATGTGGACCGTCGAAGACCTCAAATATCACATTTATTAAATTAATACTTTAAAAATCAATTTTTATATTTACCAAAAGAAAATCTTTACAAAAATTTAAGATAAGTTCGTGGAAGATCATCGATACACATGAACAGATTTAGTAAGAACTCTAAACATTGTATTAAGCATAGAAAGTACTATTAACTATCAAGTTATAGGTTTTTAAAAACTATTTTAACGTAAGAAAAATATCAAAAACTATGGATTGCACTATATCATTATAAATAAAACTTGAGTTTTTGAATACTAAAATGCAGTCTAACAAGAAAATATTCGATTTATCAGTATCATTTGCAGCATTTTAGATATAGCAGCATAGTTTCCAATACAAATTAGAGTCAAAAAATTGGTGTGAATCCGGGTTCAGAAGTAGTTCATATCAAAATTTGATAAAGAAGGTGTCAGTTTTATACATTGCAAAATGAATCCTCTGCTGGTAGGTTACCCCCAAATCTATCACCTGCTGGTGAGGCTCGGATTAATATTATAAATTTCTGGTGAAATAGAAATTCACGATGAAGACACAAAAAATCTTTTTTCTGTAAGGTATTATAAATCGAATAGAGCTTATGAGAAAACAACATAAGTTGTTAATCTTTTCTCCGATACTATAATATTATATTTCCCTTTCTTATTGAGACGTTTAATATTATCTTTTATAGTTCTTGATGTAATTATTAAATGTTAGAAAGTTAACCTACGCAGCTTAAACTACTTTTCATCATCCATAATAAGTAAATGTAGGTCCTTTTATTCCTATATGTAGATGTTTCCTGACACATATATTCATGCTACATACATCTGCTTGAAATGTTATTAAGTGATGACTGTTTTCGCATTTCGATCTATTTGCACATCAGATATTATAGTTGAGTTTAAAAATAAATTAATTTGTGGTCTAGACCACAAGATTGTTAACAATAAATTAGAAATTTTTTAGAAAACTGATTTTGAAGAGTATATAAAATCTCTCTAAAAAGTGCTACTGTAACATAATTTTTCTCTAACCGATTTTTCTCTTACTTCTTTATAAACTATGTAATAAAATATTTTAGTGCATTTAAGTTGAGTTTAAAATGAGTGTTTAATAAAAAAAAAAAATATATTGTTTTTTAATAAATTTTTTAATGTATTATATATTTTTAGTTGCGGGTGAGTGTTTTATAAATATATTTACTTAACTTTGAAATGACTTAAATGTTCAACGATATTTTTAACACATAATAAATTTTTATTTGTAATATTATTTATTGCAATGTAATCATAAATTCGTCATTATGTTTTATTTTTTGTTTACATATTTTTTATATTAATTTTAAAATAATGAAGTTAGATATTTTAACCAACACTTTATGAGTCACATTGGTATTTAACTATTTAACACCGAATTTAATGAGTTGATAAAACTATTCTGACAATATTAAAAATTTTAAAATTTTATATTATTTATTCAGCATTATTGTTAGTTACCTAACGATATCTTCAACGACCCTGGACCGTTTGAAGACATCAATTCTATGAGTGAGTTTTAAAAACTGAGTTATATATAAATTTCAAGAATTAAAATGTAAATTTCTAAAATTTATGGTATATAGAGCATTATCGATATATAATATTTTGTTTATTTTTTATAAACTTATTTAATCAGCACACTTATTATATTTTAATTTTAAGAACAAGTGATACTTTAAGGCATATACTTAGCAATTCATTATTTCTTTTGATTTTAAAATCGTTTTAGAAAGAGTACAGTGTAAAAAAATAATTAGCAATTTTTCTATTAGTTCTTCTATCTTTGAAAAGTTCATTAATGCATTTTTTTTTTAAATTTTTCATTAAATTGATAAAAAATGTTTATTCAATTTAGAGTTAACAAACTGTTTTACATTTTTATAGTTCAGTTCAGTTTTAATTAATCAAAATATCACCTTCATAACCTTAAAGGTTTATAGTCATAACTATACTGAGAACTTTTTGAATGAAAGTATTTTTGTTTTTGATATATTTATTGCATTCTAGAACAAGTTGTCAAGACAAAAATAAACTTAGACTGCCACAAATACTTGGCGACTAAAGTGTGACTATATATTTTGCGCTTCAAATTTTGTGTTTTTTTTGCAATGAAACACCTTTGTGTTCTGGACCTCACTTCACCAATAACTAGAATATTGTTTGAAAATCACTGGGCGTTTGTGGTTTATTGGATTAACTAAAGATTTAATATGACCACAAAAAATTAGGTCCAATGAAATTAGAACGCACTATTGTCGTGATAAGTTCATATATATTATCGATAAAATAGATTTTGATATGCGGGTTGTTAGAAAAAATATTCCATCCATATGGTGCCATATGATCGTTCTTGAGAACAATATCAAAATAATTATTTTTGAGTTTCTTCGACAAAGGTTCAAAGCATCGATACTTTTAGAAGCAGATTTTAATATCATAATCTGGTCAATTTGAGTTATTTTCGAATTGCATTACAAACATTAAGTTCCGTAGGTCGATTATGCTGAAAAGAAATTTTATATAATGATCAAAACTAAGTTTGAAACTAATAATAAACAATTTTTATAATAAATTTTTTCAACTTAAACAACTTAAACGGTTTAATTTGGAAAAATTAACAATTTCGGTGAAAATTACAAACAATGGCAAGATAACATGTAAAAACTGTATAGTTTGGATTATATATATCTACATCTATATCTACAATTTCTTTATACTTTTCTTTAACCTTACAATAACTCATTATTATAAATCATTCTTAACATATTAATATAAAGATATATTTTAATATTCGAATTATTATCATATTGGTTGGCTAATAATGATGTAATACAAAATTGAATAAATAATAGTAAATATTCAATAGTAAATATAGGGCACCATTATATTTACTATTGAACTTAACTTTTGAACTTAACTATTAACTATTGAACTTAACTTTAACTATTGAACTTAAGACAAGGTTATTTTAACATTAGTGTAAGATTTATTTCCTATTTGTTGATTCATATCAAGTGTTTAAAATCCAATTAATATTAGTATTCTTATGACATCATCGAATAGAAATAGGTGTGTCCAATATTTTTTATTGGAACTAAGCATTTTTGTAGTATGCCATATATACTCTTCAATGATTCAATTAAATATAAACCTTAATATCTAAATTGAAAAGAAAGTTAGTAAGATATTTTATTAAATATAAAAACAATTATTTTACATAAAATAAATATATGCCAGTCTCGAGTTAAATGTGGTACACTTTTATTTAGATGTAGTATCCAGCAGGGCTAGCGCAACATCAACTAAACGTCCAAATAATATAAACAATGTTAGTATTGTGTTATGTTAATTAGTTAATGAAGTATATATTCACAGCCTTGTGTGATGTTGCGCTTAATTTAGATTTAATTTAGTACTAAACAATGGGAGACAACTACAAAAAAAAGAAATTTTCGCGGTTTCTCTCTGAAGAGGGAATAAAAAGTCTAACTGACACTGAAATGTAATATATTGCTGATTTTATTATGAACTGCGTGCATATTTTGTTTGAGTATCTGAAGTAAAAAACCAATTTTAAATAATGGAATTCAATATATCAACAAAATACCAACTAAATCAGCAAAAATATAAGGTTGTATGTATGTCTTAATGATAAAACTAGTAGTAGATGATAGTCAAATAAATATCAGAGAGCTGCAAGTATTTATATTGATTACTTTTCGAATATAAGTTAAAATTAAAGCACTTTATTTAATTTTTAATAAGCTTCTTTACTTATTTACTTATCAAAAGCCTAAGCAAGAGTGCGTTGTCTCATTTTAAAAGTTGAGAACCGCGAAAGCCAAATGAGACTCTTCCGGACAAGAAGTTGATGTCCTGCTTGATAGCAATCAAGCGATCAAATAATATCGCATAATTGTACAAATAATGTAACTAAATGTAGGGGCCAGATCTGAGAAGCTGCGGATGTTATAATAAAAGAAATGTGATATGGAAAATGTCTCTGCATATTATGAGTCAAGTTAACTAAAATTGGATAAAAACGTAATCACTTTAATATTTTGAATATTTTATTGGAACTGTTTAAGCTACATACTTCGTCGTCACCATGGTTAAATTTAACAAATTATATTATATTTCGATTATCTAATTATTCCTTTTTTTCATCAGATCAGGATCACAGGAGCTAATTTTCAAAGTTGAAAATTAGCTCCGAAGCTAAAAATTGCCCTCAAATAAAAAACGATACTAATTGGATGTATAGAAGGCCTAAAGTATTACACTGCTTAGAGAGATGAAAAAAGTTGGCACACGGTTAGGAAAAATATAACGTATCGGAAAGAGTTTATATTGAAAAATAAGCATAAAAATATTTTAAATATTTTAAAACGTTTGAACTCTACCCCTCTTACCTAGAAAGGTTGAAGAAGCAAGAAAGAAAGATTGACAAATAAGCAAGAACTTGTTACAAACATTCATTTTTATAAAGAATGTAGAACTTTTGTAACACCCCTCGTATATTCATAATTACTCTGGTAGCTTAGAATTATGATAAGTTGTTATTTTAATATCACAGTTTTTTATAATTATTTAAGTAATATAACGAAATTAAATTTTTATAGCAATTATATTAACTTATGATTGTTATCTTATAGTATATGGTATATGCAATAGAGTACATAAAGTACGTTTGTCTCATTTTTAGAACACATATTTAATAACAAACTCACAGAAGAAACGCGTGAATATATTTTTGAAGTCGGTTCGATATTAGAATATATTTTGGAATATACAATAAAATTTTATATATGAGATCGTCAGCAGATTTAAATCAGAGTGCCGAACTGAAAATTCGTTAAAATGAACTATTGAAAGTTGTGTACAAATGTGAAATGAGAAATAAAAAAAAATAACTACAATTATACAAATATTAATTGTTTTGCTGGTGGCATAACATCCTTAAGAAGCAATATTTTAAAATTTATTAAAAAATTAAAAAAAGTCATTGTAAAACATATCCATACATTTTTAGATAAAAAAAATATACTAAATATATAAACTTGATTTGGAATACCTCTACATACATTTATTTTCAAAAGGTGCAGTTGCTCTACCTATATAAATAAACCCGTGACTTTACACATCCACTATGTGGGATATGTCCTAAACGAATTTTTACTGCATTACCCTGATCATATTGCAATTGCATATAAAAAAACAAAAGACTATTAATTATTTTATCTAATAATACCCTTAGTTGACACTAACATACTGTGATTCCAACAGTCCATAAAGTACACCAAAGTTAATTATTAAAATAATAACTATTAAACACAGAATTGGAAACTTAAAAATTAAATCTCTAAAAAGAAACCTTCCACATTTGAGTTAAGTTAAGCACTCAGTATATGCATATGTGAAAATGAGATTTGTTTATAATTCACTCAGTGCTATAGTATAAATCTATTTATGTTGAAATAAAAAAACGTACTGAATATAAAACATCAACTCAAACGTTTACTACTACAAATGATGTTGCCAACATAAATATCACACTTCTAAAAAAAATTCTTCACCATAAATTCGTAACAAAATATGGGTATTCACTCTGTCTTGCAAAGTCATTGCAAGATGCACATAATGCAAGTATACTACACTAAAATTGCAAGAGTATGAGAACACTTGTGTTGCAGAATTGAAACATCAATATAAAACAGCTGTTTTTGCAGCATACCACATCCACATGAAAAGCAACCGATATTAAAACAGCTGTTTTTTTCCATTTTTATTTCGTTGCAACCCTATATATATATCGTCGTCCTGTTTAGGTATAGCAAGATTGCAATCAATTGCAAGAAACTTTGTGCGTGTATTTTGTTGTTGTATTTTACAAACTCGCCAATCGGTGCATTTCGTGGGCCTTGCAATGAGTTTGCAAGACAAAGTGAATACTTCAATTATAAATAAAATTTATTGTTTTCACTTTTGAGTTTATTTTTTATTTGAATTTGAGAGTATCATTACTAGATAGTCTAATATGGTAAATAGAAAAATACATAGATTATAAATAACAACATTTGAAGTTTTGGTTGCTATTGTATAATTAATTGTATAATCACTCTTTTAAAACTAACTTTTAAAAGTTAATGCAACTCTGACTTATTAATCATATCATAATTGAAAATGAAAAAAAAAATTAGAAAAATATAAAGTAAAATTGTTTTAAATATAATTTTAGATTAACAGCAAATATCAATATTAATCAATAATGGATAAGCCAGGTAACTATTACCACAATTATTTCGAATAACTAATATTTATATGAATTACTTTAAGTGGTTGACCCAATTGTAAGTCCGATTGGAGAATTGGGTTGCTCTCAATTAGTTTTCTGCCTCTTCATATTCTTGTCCAAGTTTCCAAGCGGGTGGATACAAGTGTCACATATTTTTCTGTGTTACAATATGAATGCTATATGTACTTCACCTAGCAATATTACTGATGCCTGCGATGACGCTTGTCAGAAACATGATTTTGATCGCAGCATTTTTGAAGAAAATGTCATAAGCGAATTTGACTTATCATGTAAACGTAAAAAATGGGCTTCGATTTCTCAGACAATAACCATGGGTGGAGTTATGACTGGTAGTATCTTATTCGGTATTATCTCTGATAAGTGAATAAAAACTAAATATATAACATTTACCAAAATAACTTTAATATATAACTTTTAGATGTGGTCGTCGTCCTGCTTTTATTACTGGTTGCATGATATTAATGGTATTTAGTGCTCTAGTGTCCCTTTCACCTTTTTTTTGGGTATATTGCTTATTTAGGTATATAACTGCTACCGCTACTGGTGGTGTAATGGTAACTAGGTTTGTCAATAAGCATAATAATTACAGTACATTTTAAATTCTAATGTTTTTAATATTTTGGTTTTTGCCTTTCAGTTTTGTACTTATAATGGAAATTGTTGGAAAAAGTAAACGTGAAATAATGACTATACTATATCAAATTCCATTTAATATGGGACATGCATTACTACCTATATTTGCTTATTTCTTCCGACATTGGCGTAAGTTTAATATGTGCTACTCAATCGTCCATTTTGTCTACATCGTATATTTCTGTGTCATTCCGGAATCACCGCGCTGGCTATACACACATGGAGATTTAGATAAGTCTGCAAAGATTCTTACAAAAATGGCCAAAACTAACGGGAAGCCAACTGAATCGATTCGCTCTGATCTGGAATCAGCATACGCCAGACTTAAATCAACGCAACCAGCAGCGAAGGCGAGCATCATTGACTTATTTCGGACACCAAATTTGCGAATTAAGACCATTGCAATGGCTTTTGAATGGTTCGTAATATGTTTGGCCTACTACGGTATATCACAATACGTAACACATATGAGCGGTGATGTATTCGTAAACGTTGCGATTGGAGCATGGCTTGGGGTACCTGGAACATGTATATGTGTTCCAATGACAAAATATTTAGGACGGAAGCCCACACTAATGATATCAACTTTTTTAACAGCAATTTCGTTATTACTTATGGCATTTTTACCCAAAATACCCGATGTAGCTAAAATAATACTTGTGACCGCTGGTCTCTTTGGTGCATCGGTAACGTTTCCAAATGTTTATATTTATGGAGGTGAATTATTTCCTACTGTCGTACGGAACTCTGGTATTGGTTTATGCTCATTTATAGGTCGTCTTGGTTCTATGTTGGCTCCGTTCGTGGCAGAATTAGCTCATGTTCACTTGAGCTTACCAGGAGCCATATTTGGAGTCATGTCATTCTTAGCTACTTGTGCTTGTTTTTTAATGCCAGAGACCAGAAATACTCTTTTACCGGAAACTCTTGAAGATGGCGAGAATTTTGGCAAAAAGAAACCTGAACAATAATAATAATTTTATTTTATTTATTTCCAGAATTGATGAACAGTACAACAAATTTATATTTTGTAATGTGTATGACTATTTTAAGGTACATAAATATTTCTATATTTAGAAACCATTACTTTGACTCGTACATAATAAATTGTAAAAAACTTATTGGTGATGTTATTCAATTTTTGAGTACATATGCATTGTTAGTCGGTACGTACCGTAAGAACTTAAGTTAAAGCGAAATACACAGGTGTGGTTGGTTGTGCTTTTCGCTTTGCCTTACGTTCACTTAAATTCTTACGGTACGTATCGACTAAGTGAGCCTTAAACCTGTCAAATTTTATAGATAAAAGAAGTATCCTTATAACTAAGATGTGTTTTTAGATATAATGTGATATGCAAAGCTTATAAGTCTGCTAACAATTTGATTGAAAGTTTACAAAAATTACTGACAAGAATGCTTAATTAATAATATGGTGGAATCTAATTTCAGTTCGCTTTTTTTAAAAAATATTACTCAAGTATCGATCCCGGTTAAGTTTATTTATGATATAAATTTATTGAAAGTATCTTCAAAAACGAAGAAACTCTGAGGCAATAATTTTATATATTAAGCAAGCTTTCAATATCTTTTCATTGAATTGTTATGTAAAATTAAAATACACCTACCTTGCAGTCATTTTTTTTAAATCATGTGTACACCAATACACAAATTTTTGTTTACTCATGAAATTAAGAAATTCTTTCCAATGTAGGTGCCAAATTCAATGGGCTTACATATACAGTAACAGGAAATAACAATATTGAATCAATGCAGATTCTGTGACTATCAACAAAAAGCCCTTATACCCAATTAAAAAAAAAAATCGAATGTCCCATATTTTGGTCAAAACACTGACATGTTCTATTCTATCACGGTTTAAAGTAAGACTTCGTCCACTCTACTTTTACTGAATCACAAATACTGATTCACAAAGCCATTATATTCATATATAATACTTTGAAATTAACAAAAAATTATTTAGAAACTCTAGTCAAAAGTATTATGCAAACGCATCATAGTTTGTTGGTAATATAATATTTTACTTTGTCTTGTGAGAGTTTCAAAGCTGTATGAATAATTCAGAAAGTTAAATCACTTAAACTTAACACAATCGGCTATTTAATATAGGTAGAGCTTTAGTTCTGGATAATGGAAATGTGTCAAACCAAATAAATGCCTGCCAATTAATTTAGAAGACAGATTCAAAACGTTAACCCCCTTTAACTGCTTTAAGAGTATGCTTTTCACTCTCCTGAGATTTATGTTATGTTTATGTCACATACTATATATCTTGGACATATAATATTAATATATAGAGTTAAAAAGTTAAAACAAACTTCAGATTTAGGTGTTCTTCACTCTATTATATATATATATAAATATATATATTGGGATGAACATCTATATGTAAGATTGGATTAGATTTAAGACGTGTTGTATAGTTTCCTCCTTAAAACAACAAGCACCACAATTTTTTTATTATTTCTTAATACTCGTATTAATATATTCATCGATTATATAAAATCTTGAAACTAGAAACTAAAATTTCATTAAATTTTGTAGTATCTTCTAAGGTTTCAAAAATATGGTTTGTTAAAAAATCCAGTTTTTCAAAAAAACCTACGATACTTCATTTTTTTTTAATAATTTCTCACATTCATTAATAAGAAATTAATACAAAAATAATTAAATTTAATAAAAAAAATAAATAACTTATTAAAAATTTTATGAAGAAATAAGAAATAAAATTATGTCCACATATAATTACAAACATATGCATGTCTTAATATATTTCAGTACCGCAAATACTTTTTTAATGGTTGCTCTTTAATATATAATAACAAATTTTTTTGTCCCAATTTTTGTAATATCATTCTGAATATATGAATACGAATTTTTAGTACTTAAAAAATTATATTCCAAATAATTGTATTATAATCTAAGAACTCAAAAGTATTAAGCTTTTTAAACATTAAATTGTTTTTTTAAATAATTATAATCTTGTTAAGCATATTCAATCATTTTGCTTTATATATGGTACAATAAAATAATTTAAATACAATTTTTTATTTTAATTAATTGTTAAATATAATTAAAAAAGTTTTGATTGCATGTGTCACTCACCTTCGGTTATATCAATTTCAGCATTTTTTTGTTGAAATTTCCCAGCGCCTGTTGTTGCTTGGTTTGGATCCGATTTGACACCTCTTACGCTACCGTAACCATACAAATCACCAAACACTAATAGAGCCAAGGCAGTGAAGATTATTATCCGAAAACGCCAAGCAACATCCATTTTAGCACAAACAAGAAACTTAATAGAAATTAAATATACAAAATGTAACCAACAATTTTCAGATAATTTATGATTTTTTACACAATTTGTATATCTTCTCGTATATATATATATATTTTTTTTTTGCACAACAATTTATGATGTAATAAAGTTTTTATAAAAAAACTAATAAATTCTAAAGATCAAAGGTTTTATGAATTTTTGATTGTTAATAAAATAAAAATGTGTACACAAATTCACTTAATAAGCCATTAAATCCATACAAATAAACGCAAATGAAAGACTCGATATCTTTTGAGCTTGACTTTAGTATGGAAAACGAAAGTTGGCTGGCAGACGTAAAACTTTTACACTAAAACAACAGCGATTAATCACGTTCGGCGTATGGCTTTATTACGAAAATATTTATGTAGTATCAGCGATTTTTCAAATTTTTTTCATTTACGAGTATGGAAAACGTGCATAGAAATTTTTTAACAATTAACAATGAATTTTAGCATTCAAGCGCAAAATAAATTTTAGTTTAATTGTTTGCCTTTTTCATATTCGATGAGATTTGATTCAATTCGATTCGATTAGGCAACCGTACGAAAAACGGAAAAACGAGTTTATTACTTTTTCCCCCAACTTTTTACAAAAACCATTCAACCAACGCGATGTGAAGTCCAAAACTAAGTTTGAAGTCTGAAGCTCTTCTAATATAAATACTTTTGTGTTCATTTTTATGCACTACTCGCAAGAGCAGCATGTTAAGTTCGCCGGTAAACTTGGAACAGCGATTTACCTCAATGCATAGTATGTTATCTGCTATTACTTTGACTTTAAAATTGGTGTTATGTTTACGATAGATAATTCCAAACAATAATAATAATTATCTATAATATTTATATATTAAAATTTAAATACAGTTATACGAATCACTTTGTTTCGATTATTTAATTTTAATGAATTCAACCTCTGTTTATAATAGCCGTAATTTTTTCTCTCAGAGTAGCAAAAAAATAGTCGCAACTCACGAACGAAAATATGTGAAGCAACAACAATGCTCTTAAACTCTTCAGAGTTAGTTTTTACTCGCAAAAAGTTTTGTGTCTTAAGCTTTAGTGCTGTCAAATTCAAAAATCAGTCTATTGTGAATGTGCTTTTCATTTACTAATAACTTCAAATACATACATAAATTAATTAATTTAAATATATATATAAAAATGCTTACCATTGCCCTTTTAATATTCATTTTGCATTCCGTTATTTAAATTAATTAATTTTTAGTATACAATTTTTATATTTCATATTATATACAACACAACAAAAAATATATTTTTAAAAAAAAGTATTTAACATATTTTAGAAATGCTGCCAATTTGTTGAAACCAGACTTAATACTGTTTTTTTACAACTCTGAAAAAAAGTATTACGGCTAATTTATTCGGTTTATTGAAAGCTTGTCTTATAGTAGTTCGTTTACCTACTTCATTTAGTACATTTATGTAGTTAACTTACTAATTGTGCAGCAATTAAGCCCATTTATGATTTAAACATATCAGATATAATTAAGTCAAAAAAGCACAATGATTTAGTAATTACAGTAGCGGTTCGAAGACACTGGCAACCGTCCGGTATTAACCGGTAGTATTAAATTAATACAATTAAAGCATGCTTTGTATATAAATATTCAACTATTTTTTTCTTTGTTGCCAATGGATTCCTGAACCACTGAATCGATCTGCATGATATATATGCCACAAAATCTTTATACAAAGCAGACCAATACAGGTTATAACATTTTTATACAGAGTCAATATTAGGGTGGCCACCATAGAAGAAATTGTTAAAATTTAGTTTTCTGCTAAAATGTCGAATTGATATGATTGATATATACACTATGTAATTTTTGTTTAAAGGATCCAAATGCAGGTTACAAAATATTTAGTGAAGATCAATACTTAGAATTACAACTATATAAATGTTGTTACATCCAATAGACTTAAACGATGATTCATATTTCAATTCTTACTTTGCGAGCTCTCATATAAAAGTATGTCAAACCAGAGGCGAGTTTGTTAATTACAAACTTTAATTAATTAATTAAATTTTCCAATAAATTCCAATAAAATATTAATTGATAATTTAAATTCGTTAAATATATCTGAGGTTCCATCATAGAAGGTGTCGATAGATAAAATATTAAATATAAATAAATAACAAGCATAAAAAACATATAAATAAATATGAAAACATAAAAATATTTTTGAAAAAACTGGACATCAGCATCTGAAGTTCTATGGAACTAGAAAATATAAAAGTAGTAAAAAGGTTAAGCATACATTAATATGACTAGATCAGTGCTGATGTATATGAATTCAAGTGCTAGGTTATATTCAAAAATTAGTAAAAAAAATTGTATGTATGCTGTAGATGAAATAAATTCACAAAATAAATATACTCATATGATATAATTTTTAAAATTTTTTGTTGCTTGCATTAAACTGCAGTGGATAAACTAGATCCAGATATTTTGCTTTAACTGGTTTCCTTTTAACGGTCTCATAAACCGTCAAAAACATTATTTTCTAAAAATCAGTTTCTTCTGTTAGCCAAAGCTAGATAATCACAGAAAAAGTGTGTAGTTGTTACTTTTTCCACAAATTTTCCACAATTTCTACAATATATAGTGAATGCAAGGCGTAAGTCCGCTGTATAGGTTCCTGAAAGAACTGCAGTGAACCTAACAGTATGGACTCAATTCTTGTTAATATTTTATCCTGATCAGGGTTTCTAGTATATTGACTTTCTGTTACTATTAGTTATTTATTGAAA